CTCTCATAAGACTACAGGAAGAAGGGCTTGGGGAGATGCTCAGTCAGTAAAGAGCTTGACATGCATGCATGAAGACCCGGGTTCGATCCCCAGAACCCACATAAAAAAGGCCAAGTGTGGTGGTGCATACTTGTAATTCCAGCACTAGGGAGGTGGAGACAGGGGCTTTCTGGTCAGTCAGCCTAGCTGAATCAGCAAGCCTATAGGCTAGTGAGAGATCCTGTATCAAAAAACAAGGTGAAGCATGGAAAGCATGCACGCACGCACACACACACGCACACACGCATGCAAGAAGAGAATTTGAGCATGTACTTCCTCAGGTGCATATAATGAACAAAGATCAGCTGAGTATATAACAAGTTGGAGTGGGCAGCACCTGTAATCCAGGAGGACAGCCCTTATTGGAGCCCAACCATGTGAACACCCTGATCTCAGACTTCCAGCCTCCAGAACCGTTGGAGAGAGATTCAGAGCACTATAGGAATTCTGGTTCATGTAGCAGCTGGTATGTAACAAATCCCTAGTAGATGTTGATGGACATAATAATGAGACAGCAAGGTCCCATCCTAGTAGGTACAACGTGATTGTGGGGAGGAAGAGAAAGGTTCTGTTTGCAGGGTGGCCCCCATGGACTCGAAGGAGACCTTAAACCATAACCTACCACAAGCAATCAACTCACATCAGGGGTTTTCCCTAGCATGTCTGGCACCCACAGTCACTGGCTTACTGCTTAGGGCAAAGCCAGGGCTGTAGATCCTACTTTCCATTGGAGGCAAATATCTTCCTCCTCCTCCACAGAAGGCCTCACTCCAGCCTCTGGGGACCATGAGAAGGAAGAGCAATCCAGGATGAGACCAGGTGAACACAAGTCAGGGGACAGCTTGGACATTCCTACCCCAGATTCTGCCTGGTCTAGGTGAGGTAGATTGCTACAAGTTGTTACCACAAAAAAGTCTCAAAAATGTTTTAGGTAAGCTTAAGATTTGGTGTTTGATGAAATCATAGCTATCCTAGGCCGCAGGTGGCCCTGGGCTACAGACCAGACAGGTATGATACAAAACACATCATGTGTTCATCTGCTCAGATTAGCCTGGCAAGCATGAAGTTCCTAGGAGCAGTGATCATGGCCTGCCCTGCTCCTCCTGGAGCTCCAAGGCCAGAATAAGGTCTAGTGCCCTGATACTCACCAACTTGGAGAATCATTGTATCTCCAAACTGCCTGTAGCCCAGTGCCTGGCACATATCAGGCGCTCAGTACAGGCAATTCCCCCACTTAACTCCAGGCCCACAGAAATTCCAGCACCTGTGACTCTTCTAGAACACTACCTGTGGTTCAAGCAGGGGCAGATGGACACTGATTAGAGCAGATACCATGTAACTGAAGCACAAAGAGGTCCACCAGAACCCTTCTGAGCACCTATTGTATAGACAGTATAGAGACCTGGTGATATTACCATATGAACCCTTCAGACCAACCCCCAGGAAGCAAGTGCCAGCATCCTCCTGTGTGGATAAGGAACAGTCAAAGAGGAAGAGTAGCTGGCTCAGGGTCACAGTACTGAAGCAAGACATGGCCAGAGGCAAGGCCCTGGACTCCAGAGCTGGCCCTAGCCTGTCCCCAGCAACAGAGAAGCATTAACATGGATGTGACCAATGCCCATTCCTTGAGCGCTTGATGTAGCCTTACTGGTTCCCGGCTGGCCTAGGGGACAGCCTCCTCCTTTTCCAAAGGCCCCGACCTCTGTTATTCCTTCTCTCTCCTGGTCTAGCTGGGGAGAACAGCTACATTCATGCACCTCTAAACGACAGCTCAGAGCTGCCATAGGCCCCAGACCCTAATGAAGACAGAATCACAACCAAGCTGAAAGATGGCCCTGAAAGCCCAGAATGGGGCCATGGGTGTGGGGATCACTGGCTTGCTCTAACCGCCTGTGAACCTTGGCTTCCAATGGCCTCCACCTCCTCTGGCTCAGGCCACTGTCCACACCTAAAGGAACAGCCACCACCTAGCACTGTTTCCACTGCTGCTCTGCTCCTGAGGAGGAAAGGATTGTGGTTTCCAAGGGCAATCCTATAAACACATCTGCTACACAAAGGGGGTTTTCCCTGGATACAGGAAGAGGCTGGTTCCTGAGCACAGAGCTGGCACTAAGAGGAAGCCGAGGAAGCTGCTGGCCTCGGCTAGGTTAAGGCCTCACCCAAGGACATCCTGGAGCTAAGAAAGAAGGTGGGCCAACTACAGGAAAAGGGCAGAGGACCCCCAGCAGGCCACTGGGCTGGAAGCCAGGGGTGACACCATCCTATGAAGTGACCCACCCCAAGACTACATCCCTGAGGTGCCCCAGGTCCTGGTCCTCTAGGCAGGCAGGTCCTAGAGGATGCCCACACACTCCTGCCACACTCCAGGTCTGTAGGAAACAGAAAACAAGTCATTCTGCCAAAGGGCTTTACAAAGCAAGAGTCAATCCTTGTCTGGTTTTCCAGCATTCCTCTGGATAGTTGTATTGGGATGAGGATATCAATGAAATAACCAGTGGAAGGTGGCAGCTGGGTACTACGAGGGCCCATATCTGTGACTTAGGACTGCTCACATTTGCCTTACAGAATTGGAGACCATGTACATAGATCACCAGGGGATAGTCACCACTGCTGTTCCATCTACAGGACCCAGACTGTGTCTCCCTTGCTATGGCCCTGCTCCAGCCCTCCCTGGCCTTGGTCCTTTGATGACCATAGCCCTGTATCTCCTGACTTAGCACAGCTGGAAAGGAATGGGACTGATGGCAGGATGACAAAAAGCTGTAACCCAAGGCCCATGTCCCTACTGCTTATGAACCCAGGGCCCATCCTGGTTCTTCAGCCCTCCCAAGATCCTGCTCTGGGGATGTCCCCCTCACCAGTGGATCCAATCAGGGATCTCAGTGTGGGAACTCTGAGTTTGAAGAAGACCCCTCCTTCTGGCTTTCAGGATCCCAGATGGCTCAGAGCCAATAGCTATTAAGTTCAGTACAGCCTTCAACCTGGCCAGCCAAGCTGGCTAAGTGCAGCATGTATCTTCACAGAGCTCCAGGGTGGCATCAGAGGTGGCCCAGACACCAATTCCCTTGGCCTTCCAATTGGCAAAGGAAGCCTTGGGAGGCTGAGCGCCAGAGCTGAGCTCCTCTGAGACTGTAGTAAGGAGACACGTTTCATTTTCTGAGTCTGTCCTTAGTGTAGAATAAAGGTGCTGACCAGGGATGGCAACTGCTAACCTGGCTGAATCCTTTATTCCTCCAGAGAAGCATGAATATCCATGAGAACTTTAGGCCCTGCTCCAGGCTTAGAGTTAGGCCCTGAGTTTAAGGATGCGCCCTTGAGTGGTGAAGGCACATACCACATAGGCTCTCCAGTTTAGAAACTCCAGGGAAGTCCATGGTCCCAAAGAGAGCCTGCATCTCTAGGCACAGCACAGCAGCCAAGGGTCCCAGATTGACAGGCCTAGGCTAGGTACTTAGAGCAGCAGTATCTCTACAGAGATGGGGCCAAACCAGGCGTTCAAGTGAGTCAAATGTGAAGCACGGAATTCTTTTTAGAAAAACATGAAGCTTTGAATTAGAAAGTTCTAGAGTTCTGTTGCCTCTCAGGATGGTGGGCATTAGGAAAGAATACCCAGGAATGGGGCCCAATGCTTAAGACTCTGTCTCCCACACAGGACAACAGAGAGTTCACAGAAGGCTGGGTATAGTGAACACAAACAGGGTAGATTCTGGGAGCCTCTTACATGCGAACTCTTTTGAGTCCATTCATTCAACAGCTATCTATGTGTGCAGACACAGTGCTGGGATACAAAAGTAAGTGAAACAGGCAAAGATGCCTACCCCAAGCAACTGACAGCTTTGTGGAGGGAGACACTCAAGATAAATATACTTGTATTATATTTATATAAAACATTTAGAATAAAGTAGCCCGGGAGGCCACATTGATACAGCAACACGAATCATACGGATAACTAGAGCAAGTGCATTCCAGCAAAAGCAGTGCAGAGGTCCTGAGGTAAGTGCATTCCTGTGTGCTTTAGGAATGGTACTAAGAAGGCCAGTGTGGCTGGAGCACAGTGGGTGGGAGGGAGAACAGGTGAGGTCAGCAAAGAGTTAACAGTCAGATGACACTGGGCCAGATGACAGGGTAGACTCCAAGTTGAGATGGAAGGGCCTGAGGCAGCGTTGTCCTCTGACCTGGCTATTTATGGGAGGAGCTAGCATTCAAATATGTAAGGTATAATTGTGTAAGGAGCAGTTGTAGCCTTAGGATAATCCTCGAAATGAGGCCATATGTGGGCAGAGTGTCCTGCCCTTGATGGGTGAGAATGTCCGCTGAGGGCTGCAGAGATGGCTCATCAGGTAAATGTGCTTGCTGCGCAAGCAGGAGGACTCGAGTTTGAATCTCCAGTACCCACGTAAAAGGTCAGGTGTAGTTGTGTGCGTGCTTGTAAACCCAGCACTGTGGGGAGCAGAGACGAGAGAGGGTCACTGGGGCTTGCTGGACACTATCCCTAGCTCCAGGCTCAGTGAGAGATCCTGCCTCATGGGAATAGGGTGGAGAGTGACACAGCAGGACACATGATGATAATCTCCTCCGGCCTGTGCATAACACACTCATTCTCATTCTGCCCCCCACCCCATAGGAACAGAATTGTTAGATGGCTTTTTCTTATTTCCAGACAGACCAGCTGCCTTCAGCATTCAGGTGTGGTCACTAGAGGCTGCTGGTGCTTCCCAAGTGCCAGCTGGCCTGTCTCCGGCCCCCAGGCTCTACCACACTCAGCGGTGTCTGCACCTACCCAGCTCTTACCTGTACTATTGAAAGATATCCAGTGCCCCTAATCACCCCAGTGACCCAATGTCGGCCCTCTGTTCCAGTCCTCTACCACCCCAGGGTCAGGGCCTCCATCCTAAAGGCCTGAGCGTGGTCTCAATGGCACCCACAGGAGCCTGGCTGGAGGGCCAGCACCCAGGACTCACCAGGCATAGAGAAGGGGGACAGGAAGACCGTCTCCACGGACTCTGGCTCTGGGGGTGGAGGCTGTGGTGGTGGCTGCTGCTCCTGATCCTGTTGTGGGTCTTCAGGGTTTTCTACAGGAACGTTCCCGTTCTCAATGCTTTCATGTCTTCCGTTCTGCAGTGGTTTGCTGCTTACACCATTGGCAGAGTTGATCAGCCTCTGCCTCTGAGGGGACAGGAGGCAAGACAGACGCCAAGGCGGGTTACACAGAGTCACACGACTGCTTTCTTTGTTCTAGTCGCCCAGTTCTTGACAACGCCTGTCAGCAGTCTTTCCTTCTTGCCAACACTTGCCGTATGTAGTTGGTCCCTTCCACTTGAGCCACTCTGGGTATGTGACTGTGGAATCTGGTTTCAATCTGCCTTTCTTCACCAACTAATGATGCTGAACATCTTACTGAGATGTCGGCCCCAGATCACCCCTCAAACTCTCATTCCATGCCTGAGTGTGTTCCTCAAGGCCAGTCACCAAACCCACCTCTTCTCTCTTTCCACCTTGCTGTGGCTAATGACAAAGGCAGCTGCTGTTCCACTCCAGCCTGGGTGGTCTCCCTTGCTTGGCCTATGGGGTTCTCTGAATTTGGGCATGAACAGAGGCCACACTTTATGAAATTAACAGGGCTGAGAATGTAACTCAGTTGGTGGAGTGTTTGCCTACTGTTTGATCCCCTTCAGGTATCTAGTGAATTTGACGGTAGCTTGGACTACAGGAGACCCTATCTATGAAAGAAAAAAGGAGGGGGGAGGGGGAGG